TTTTACTCAAGAACAGAGTATTCCTAAGCTGAGTACTTCTACTTTTACTCAAGAACAAGACCTGAGTACTTCTACTTTTACTCAAGTACAAGATTGAGTACTTCTACTTTTACTCAAGTACAGATCTGAGTACTTCTACTTTTACTCAAGACAAGATCTGAGTAGTACTTCTACTTTTACTCAAGAACAAGATCTGAGTACTTCTACTTTTACTAAGAACAAGATCTGAGTACTTCTACTTTTACTCAAGACAAGACCTGAGTACTTCTACTTTTACTCAAGTACAAGATCTGAGTACTTCTACTTTTACTCAAGTACAAGATCTGAGTACTTCTACTTTTACTCAAGACAATCTGAGTACTTCTACTTTTACTCAGTAAAAGACGAGTACTTCTACTTTACTCAAGTACAGATCTGAGTACTTCTACTTTTACTCAAGTACAAGATCTGAGTACTTCTACTTTTACTCAAGTACAATCTGAGTACTTCTACTTTTACTCAAGTACAAGATCTGAGTACTTCTACTTTTACTCAAGAACAAGATCCTGAGTACTTCTACTTTTACTCAAGTACAAGATCTGAGTACTTCTACTTTTACTCAAGTACAAGATCTGAGTACTTCTACTTTTACTCAAGTAATATCTGAGTACTTCTACTTTTACTCAAGTACAAGATCTGAGTACTTCTACTTTTACTCAAGAACAAGATCTGAGTACTTCTACTTTTACTCAAGTACAAGATCTGAGTACTTCTACTTTTACTAAGAAGATCTGAGTACTTCTACTTTTACTCAAGAACAAGACCTGAGTACTTCTACTTTTACTAACAGATTCCTAGTGGTACTTCTACTTTTACTCACAAGACCTGAGTACTTCTACTTTTACTCAAGTACAAGATTGAGTACTTCTACTTTTACTCAAGTACAGATCTGAGTACTTTAACTTTTACTCAAGAACAAGATCTGAGTACTTCTACTTTTACTCAAGTAAAGGTCTGAGTACTTTAACTTTTACTCAAGAACAAGATCTGAGTACTTCTACTTTTACTCAAGTAAAGGTCTGAGTACTTCTACTTTTACTCAAGTAAAGGTCTGAGTACTTCTACTTTTACTCAAGAAATCTGTACTTCTACTTTACTCAAGAACAAGACTGAGTACTTCTACTTTTACTCAAGTACAATATCTGAGTACTTCTACTTTTACTCAAGTACAAGATCTGAGTACTTCTACTTTTACTCAAGTACAAGATCTGAGTACTTCTACTTTTACTAAAGTACAATATCTGAGTACTTCTACTTTTACTCAAGAACAAGATCTGAGTACTTCTACTTTTACTCAAGAACAAGACCTGAGTACTTCTACTTTTACTAAAGAACAAGATCTGAGTACTTCTACTTTTACTCAAGAACAAGATCTGAGTACTTCTACTTTTACTCAAAGATCTGAGTACTTCTACTTTTACTCAAAGATCTGAGTACTTCTACTTTTACTCAAGTACAAGATCTGAGTACTTCTACTTTTACTCAAATATCTGAGTACTTCTACTTTTACTCAAAGATCTGAGTACTTCTACTTTTACTCAAATATCTGAGTACTTCTACTTTTACTCAAAGATCTGAGTACTTCTACTTTTACTCAAATATCTGAGTACTTCTACTTTTACTCAAGTACAAGATCTGAGTACTTCTACTTTTACTAAGAACAAGATCTGAGTACTTCTACTTTTACTCAAGAACAAGATCTGAGTACTTCTACTTTACTTTTACTCAAGACAAGATCTGAGTACTTCTCTTTTTACTCAAGTACAAGATCTGATTCTCCCACCTCTGGTAATGATTGATCATGAAAGTGTTCTCAAAGCTGGAAGGTGCAGCTAGTTTGAAGTACTTTGTATACTGCCAGGGTAGCTGGTGGATTTACTCCAGGTGGAACTAAAGTCTGATTCAACACTTGACTTATATTTAACATCATTCATCCACATCTGTGAAGTAACTAAAGGTATTAAATACATGCAGTGGAGTAAAAGTACACATGTACCTCTGAACTGTAGTGAGAGTAAATGTACTTAGTTACTTCCTCTCAATGTGCTTTCTCCCCCTCTCTCTCTCAGTGCTAATTGATGGATTGTGTGTGAGCGCTGTGTGCCAGAGCTGAGGTAAGGTGTGGCGTTCAGATGATGCCTCTGTGCTCTGGGAAGTGATGAAAGCGCCTCTAATTACAGGATAATCAAAAGTGCCAGACTCTGTTTACTGTCTGCTCTCTCAGACTCTGAGCACGGTTGTATACTGTACCTTTGAGAGGAGAGTCAGTGGAAGTATCTCCGTGTATATTTGTAAATGTAAAGAGTTGTGTTTGTTTTCCTCTGTCTAAGAGCGTTGCCTCTACTTACGGTATCTCTGTTTTTCTTGTCATGTTGTCTCTGAAAATGTACAAATAACATATCAAAGCTGTGGTGGTGCAAGCCACATATTAAAGTTAAATCCTCAACTGATGCATAAGACAAAAGGGAGACCTTTTCCTCAAGTTTTTTGAAATGGTTTCTAAATAATAATAATAATAAATAGTTATTAAAAAGCAGCCCAAAGTGCTTTACAGAAAAACATAACAACAATATTAAAATAATATTAAAATGAATACAAAACAAGATAAACACATTGGTAATATGTTCAAAATAAAACAATTTAGAAAACAAAAACAGAAAATCAAATACAGTAAAGCATTGGATAATGATACTAGTGACAATGAAAGGTTAACCCAAATTAAAAGCCATATTAAAATTAGCTTTGAACCATTTCAAGGGAGTTTGCTGTTCTAAGACCCACTAAATGCTGTCAAGTTGGTGAAGATGTCTCTTCATGTGTTTTGGCACAATTGTGTTCTATATTCAAATCATTTTTTAAACCTGCAGCACGTTTCTCTTAATTGAAGTGTTTGCCCCTGTCAGCCACCGTAGTTACGTGTTGTGTAAAACATTCTTAAAACAAACATCCAGATTGTTTTTTAGTGCAAAGCATTTAGTTGGTTTCCTCTGAAAAGACACCGACATGCTGCCATCTTATAGCTCCATTATATTGGGCAATAGGCAGACAACACTACAGGTGAAACCTTTAAATAATGGCTTGACTCACATCAAGTTGTATTACAATTCTGGAATGATTTTACCCCAAAAAACTCACACATGTTCGTAGACTGCAGCTGGATCAGCTCCCCTGAAGATGGCAGCATTTCGGTGTGTTTTCAGAGGAAACCAGAACACAATGTTTTTGCATGAGTTGCTGCAGAACCAGCTTCAAAAGACTGCGTGATGATTTCTCTGATTTAATATTACAAGGCAGATGCTGACGCTTAAAACAATGCCTTTTTGTGCAAAAAAAAACACATCAAATAGCATTACATCACAATGTACAGAACATTGCGTGTACAAATGTTTGCATGTCTAGAAAACAATAACAGACACACTTGCAGGTTAATCCCCAGATGTAATAATGTGCACGTGATGTTAAATATTATGGGATGTTTGTGCATGATTGACAGGCACTAATAGAGGCCCAGCTGCGTGGATTCAGGAGTGTAATTACAGGTGGTACAGACAGACAGGGAGCTTTGTGCAGCTGTGTTTCTGGAGCAAAACAACCCTGATCCCGGGTCTTTTCCCCCGGGGTTTCCCGCTCACCGGGGCCGTAAACAGAGCCTCTTCGGCGGGGAATGGAGAGCAGGTATGTCTCACTCCTACTTCTAAAAACTGATACTGGGATTTGGTGCTCAGAATTCATGCAAAGGTCACATTGGAAATTGTGACTGTTTTATAGGATACTGGTACTTATTAGTAGGCCTACTTCTAACTTATGCTATTCCTGATTACATTTAGTTAATTTATTTGCAGTACTGTCTACCGCAAGAATGAACAAGGAACTTTTAATTAGATGCGTTGTTGCCAATAGACTGTATATATAAAGGGTTGTTGCCCAAAACAGAGACACAAAGAGACACCACAATGACTATAAGAGGCCAAAGTCAAATACAAAGAGACACCACATCAACCACAAAATTACACAAAAGTACTACAAATAGGGCAAAACCACCACAGACCAAAACAAATATTACTAAAAGACCAAAAACAACTAAGAGATTCAAAATCACTAGGAAAATGAGGAACAACATTGATAAAGGAAAAATAATGCAAAAATAACAATGCGATTACAAAGTGACGCAAAGGGTACATAGAAACACAAAATGACTAAAAAGAGACACAACAATGACTTCCAAAAGGGGCAATTCAAGTACAATGAGTTTTTAAATGATACAAAAAGACTTCAAAAGCACAAAACCAGTACAAAAAGGGAACCACAGACAAAAAACACCCACAAACAGACCAAAAGGAAAACATACAGACTCAAAATGACCACAGAAATGAGGAAAAATAACAATAGACGAAAGATAAAATACAAAAAGAGCACAAAGTTACTACAAAGACACTCAACATGACTACAAAAAGAGGCAATACAAGTACAATGTGATTCAAAATGACTACAAAAAGACTCAAGTGATACACAGGGTAAGGAACTACAATAGTTTGACTTTTGAATAGCTGACCCTAGAAAAGGAGGTGGTACCAGCAGCGGCCCATTGTCTTCCAGAATCAGGATCAGAATTGAGTTTATTGCCTGTACGTTTGCCCATACAAGGCATTTGCTGTGGTGGATGTCTGGTGGCGCAATCATAAACAACACAAGGAAATGATGACGATATATTTCCTACTGCTCAGTCTCGTATTTTAAAATGGAGAGCTTTTCAGACATGTGTGCGGAAACGTGCAATATGTAGTTAGTATAGTTTACAGTTTACAATACACAAACAGAGATTAACTTGACCTTGTTGTGAGTGCGATTGTCTGAGCAGTCACTATGGTAACAGCTCAAACTGCAGTCGGGAGTGACAACCCACCTTTTTTCTCTTCTGGAGGCGGATCACTGGATTCTGGCGGAGTGATACGTCTCTAGAAACAGAGAGGATCTGTGCACAGGGCGCCGTGTTTACAGCAGCAGACTGCGTGTACCTGAGCCTTTATCCGTCTAAAAACACCACCTATTTAACTAAATATCGACGGGAAACATCAGATACGATCATTTCTGGACATTTCCTGGAGAAAAACGCTGGAAAAAACGTTCATTTCCCGCTGATATGAGGCTGAATTACTCCCACCACAACAACGTGATGAGCGGCTGAAGAGGAGGAGGAGGAGGCTGCGAAACTACATTTTATCCTGGATATTTCCAAACAAACGTCGTGTAATTAACACAAAGAGACCATGCATTGATTAAAGATGCCTCTAATCTGCCTAGATTACCCTCTTTCCATCCCGATTTTAAGGGTCCCCCCCCACACACTGAGGACCCTCCAGCAGCAGCGGGACGTTGAGCGTTTTTCCCCAGAAATGGAGTGCGAAGATGCGGATTACAGAGGAATCCCCGCCGCTAGTGTAAACCGCATTGGTTTTCATTATACAAACGTTTACAGGGATAAAACTGGACTATGATTTCACATTTCCTGGCAAGAGGAATAAGTCGGTGATTGCATTTTTTTGTTGTTGCATTGGACTCCCTTAGCTACCCTGCAAGCTTGTGTGCAGAATTAGCTATTAGCTCCATTAGCCGGCTAACTGCTAAAAGCTGCAGACTGGAGATTAAAAAAAAAAAGGGGTTTTATTATTCCTCTGCAGGTTTTGCGTCACGTTTCCATCCCTCCACATATTTATATACAGGATTTGGGAGGATTAACGCATCCAGGAATGGGGTCTGGTACGGAATGGAGAGATTTGACCTTGTTTTGGGGTCTGATGCTGGGGCTCATCCTCCGGCCCGCCACCGCAGAGAGTGAGTACTGATGCCCCAAAACACCTCACCACACACCGGCGAGAACACTGCTCATTTCAGGCTCTAATGCTGTGCAAACATGGGGAAAAGAAACATGGATAGATACTTGATTCATGACACATTGGGAACATATATTGCAGGGTTGTCAAGTTGCAAATCACTGTAGATGGGTTTATATTTGCTGTTTATTTTTTTATCGTATTAGGTTTATACTTGAATCCATCTTTTTAAATAGTTGTATGCATGAACATACTGCTGTTGTGACAAAGGAACTTCCCAATTTGGGATCTATCTATCTATCTATCTATCTATCTATCTATCTATCTATCTATCTATCTATCTATCTATCTATCTATCTATCTATCTATCTATCTATCCATCTATCCATCTATCCATCTATCCATCTATCTATCCATCTATCCATCTATCCATCTATCCATCTATCCATCTATCCATCTATCCATCTATCCATCTATCTATCTATCTATCTATCTATCTATCTATCTATCTATCTATCTATCTATCTATCTATCCATCTATCTATCTATAAACATAATACACAATTCAAATGAACAGCAAATATATACATTTTCCCAGTATAAAAGACATGTTTCACTTGAGTAAATAATACATAATATAAACAAAATACTATATACATTTTTATACTCTGAAATAGACAATTTCACTAAGCAACAGACACATATGGACATTGGATAAACACTGTTGTTTTCAGGCTCTAATGCTTATTAAATATGGGAAATAAGGTGAGCTGTTGTTGCTTTTATACATCAGTGCATCACTGTCAAAAGAGACATGTTTTCTGAACTGTTTCTGCACTCAAAGGTGGAAGAAGTACTTAAATAGAAGTAGAACTGATGCTGTTGAAATATGGGGAAAAGATGGATAGATAGATAGACTTTATTCATCCTAAATTGGGTAGTTATTATGCAGTGTTGACAAGTATTACACATGAGATAGATAGATAGATAGATGGACAAAATAAAAGTACTAACATCATGTGTTTTTGTATAAAGTACCTGTGAGTGTTAAAATATATGTATTGGAATCAAAAAGTACAATATTTGCTTCTGAAATGTAGTGCAGTAGAAGCACAAGGTAGCTTTAAAATGGAAATACTCAAGGAAAGTACCCCACAATAATACACAAGTACCGTGTATTGTGTACTAAAGGTGAAGCAGAAACTAGTAGACAATCAGCTAATAAAGAGAGCAATACAAACACTTATTTTATTTAGGTTTTTGACGATACAAAGTAAACACAACCTTGATTTTCAATAGTCATTACTTTGTGGGATGAAAAGGCTTTCCTTTTTAATAATACTCCCAATGTAGGAGCCTTATTTAGTTGTTGTTGATCGTTTCTATTATATCATAATTTGTTTACACCATCTCTGGTAATTGTCACCTGGGTGTAAGTTATTGAGTCCACCTGTTGTGTTGCTGGGTTTTTGTAGGAAGAGAAAGAAGGAGATTTCGGGTACTTTTTGTTGACCGTATAGTTCTGGTTATTGTTTGTTTATTTTCTTTATCAAACATCATGAACTTAACCTCATCACGCACTTCTTATTAGGAACGAATCACAGCGATGGACGAAGTTTAGCCTCTGAAGCAACATAGTTTATTAGACGTTTGCGTCACTACACCCAGTATTTATTCTGCTTTACTAAACAAACATGGGGATACTTTGACCTTGGAAATATGTTGGTATTGTAGGCAGCCAACATAGTCCAAATATTATCTATTAAAATAAACTATACTTCTTGCATTCCGACTGGTCTTTGAGAAACACCAACTGGTTTCCCAGATGGCTTACGTAGGACTTTTAGTGACTCACGTCATCAAATTGAAGCTTCTGTCAAAATGTATACTGCAAATCAGCAGGAAGATCTTATAAATACTAATACATGGTATATATTGTGATTCACAATTTGTATATTGTAGTGCACATTCACATCTTATAATTATATAATTATCTTTATTTAATGTTATCTTTTTATTATACTACTTACCTTAACTTCTAATGTTCATTTTATTTTAATTTGATTGTACAGTTAGTAATTAGTTTGTATGTTATTTGACATTTTTACTTCAACATCCTACATTTAAATAAACAGCTATTTACAATTTTATATATTTTTACACAGAAATAAACATATTTCTATTGGATTTTATTTATTTATTATTTCGTATTCCTTCTCAAATGGAGCTGAAACCGTCACATAACCCAATTATCCTGGCGATAAATAAAGTCAAATATTAAAATGTTGATATAACCTTGAACATGTACCAACTCTAACTCTATATGAACTCCAAATGTCTTTTTCCCCCTGTGTTGCCGCATGAAACGTTTCCATGTTTCCATTCGTACCGTAAACTAGGGTTTCCTGATTCATCCCATTCATCATGACATGTTGGGGAGGGGGCGGGGGATTGAACCAGGGTCTGGGTTTTAAAATAGAACAAGTCAAAGTACATTCACAAGCAAAACAGACTAAGTTCTGTTGATTGGAAAGAGTGAGGAGCTTGTGAACTGTGTGTCGGAGAGTTTACGATTAGCCTCGGTGGGTACAGGACAAACCTGGGAGAGTTTACTGTTAGCCTCGGTGGGTACAGGACAAACCTGGGAGAGTTTACTGTTAGCCTCGGTGGGTACAGGACAAACCTGGGAGAGTTTACTGTTAGCCTCGGTGGGTACAGGACAAACCTGGGAGAGTTTACTGTTAGCCTGGGTGGGTACAGGACAAACCTGGAAGAGTTTACTGTTAGCCTCGGTGGGTACAGGACAAACCTGGGAGAGTTTACTGTTAGCCTCGGTGGGTACAGGACAAACCTGGGAGAGTTTACTGTTAGCCTCGGTGGGTACAGGACAAACCTGGGAGAGTTTACTGTTAGCCTCGGTGGGTACAGGACAAACCTGGGAGAGTTTACTGTTAGCCTCGGTGGGTACAGGACAAACCTGGGAGAGTTTACTGTTAGCCTCGGTGGGTACAGGACAAACCTGGGAGAGTTTACTGTTAGCCTCGGTGGGTACAGGACAAACCTGGGAGAGTTTACTGTTAGCCTCGGTGGGTACAGGACAAACCTGGGAGAGTTTACTGTTAGCCTTGGTGGGTACAGGACAAACCTGGGAGAGTTTACTGTTAGCCTCGGTGGGTACAGGACAAACCTGGGAGAGTTTACTGTTAGCCTCGGTGGGTACAGGACAAACCTGGGAGAGTTTAATGTTAGCCTCGGTGGGTACAGGACAAACCTGGGAGAGTTTACTGTTAGCCTCGGTGGGTACAGGACAAACCTGGGAGAGTTTACTGTTAGCCTCGGTGGGTACAGGACAAACCTGGGAGAGTTTACTGTTAGCCTCGGTGGGTACAGGACAAACCTGGGAGAGTTTACTGTTAGCCTGGGTGGGTACAGGACAAACCTGGGAGAGTTTACTGTTAGCCTCGGTGGGTACAGGACAAACCTGGGAGAGTTTACTGTTAGCCTGGGTGGGTACAGGACAAACCTGGAAGAGTTTACTGTTAGCCTCGGTGGGTACAGGACAAACCTGGGAGAGTTTACTGTTAGCCTGGGTGGGTACAGGACAAACCTGGGAGAGTTTACTGTTAGCCTCGGTGGGTACAGGACAAACCTGGGAGAGTTTACTGTTAGCCTCGGTGGGTACAGGACAAACCTGGGAGAGTTTACTGTTAGCCTCGGTGGGTACAGGACAAACCTGGGAGAGTTTACTGTTAGCCTCGGTGGGTACAGGACAAACCTGGGAGAGTTTACTGTTAGCCTGGGTGGGTACAGGACAAACCTGGGAGAGTTTACTGTTAGCCTTGGTGGGTACAGGACAAACCTGGGAGAGTTTACTGTTAGCCTCGGTGGGTACAGGACAAACCTGGGAGAGTTTACTGTTAGCCTGGGTGGGTACAGGACAAACCTGGAAGAGTTTACTGTTAGCCTCGGTGGGTACAGGACAAACCTGGGAGAGTTTACTGTTAGCCTCGGTGGGTACAGGACAAACCTGGGAGAGTTTCTCACATCGAAGCCCTGCGTTTATTCCCCGCTTAAACGACTTAAATAAGTGTTTTATTGCTCTCTTTATTTGCTGATTGTATATTAGCTTCTGCTGAACCTTTGGTACACAATACACGGTACACAAGTATTATTTTGAGGTACTTTCCTTGAGTATTTCCATTTTAAAGCTACCTTATACTTCTCCGGAGTGGGTACGTTTAAAAATATTCCGTGTGTGGCTAAACTCATTTCCAGTATCAGTCAGGACTAAAGGGCAGAGGTCACCAGGCTCATCTTCAAGATTCAAGGCTTTTATTGTCATGTGTACATTAGCTACAGTGCAGATAACAATGAAAATCTGAGGTCACAGGCTCCTCCAACAGAGCAACACAGATAAAATAGTGCAGGTACATACAAACAAAATAGAATAGAATAGTGCAAGGAGACGAGTCTATATACAAGTCATTGGAATATGAGAAATACATGGTGACATCAGTATGGAAAACTTCGGCTCCTGTTGGCTAGCGCTCCAACACATTGTACGTGATAGGCTAAGGGGCGGGACATCTCTAAGCGGTTGACCAATCACAACAGAGCCGGCCAGCTAACCAATCAGAGCCGACTGGGCTCTGGTTTCAGACAGAGGGTGAAAAGAGGTGCTGCAGCACAGACAGTATGAGAAAAATGAAGAGCTTTCTGATCATTAAAGCATGGAGACATGTAGAGACACTACATACTGATATACACCTGAACATCAGCAGGAGAGGACTCTTTAAAGTAGAGACACTACATACTGATATACACCTGAACATCAGCAGGAGAGGACTCTTTAAAGTAGAGACACTACATACTGATATACACCTGAACATCAGCAGGAGAGGACTCTTTAAAGTAGAGACACTACATACTGATATACACCTGAACATCAGCAGGAGAGGACTCTTTAAAGTAGAGACACTACATACTGATATACACCTGAAC